AGATTAACTAAAGCCCTTACTGATAATAAATTAAATTTTAGTTTTGGTACATTTAACATAGTTAAATGTTCATTTATACAAGAACAATATGCAATACCTTCACCTGATGCTTTAATCTTCCATCCATTTGCCAATGATACATGTTGCTTACTCGTAGACATCTTTACAAATCTGTTTCTATCTTTAGTAATGCACTGCGATGCTCCACTATCAGCAACCCACAAATCATGGTTTACAGTTGAATTGCTAGACATAGCTAAACTAACATTCTTCTTAGCCTTCTGGTGTTTGCCAGTATTCTGTCGTTTTCCCTTCTTACAGAATCTAGCTATATGTCCCCTAGCCCCACAAGAAAAACATTTCCTAACAGTATAGGCAGTTGAAGACAAATCCTCTTCTTGTGATTGTTCCTTCCTCAGTTGGTCCCTATCCAGCCGTCTTCTTGCTTCTTCTAGCAACCTTCCAGTTATGTCAGTCAATGTCAGTTTATCTCTGGGCAGGACTTCCAATGAAGATACATAATCATCATAGCTTTCATCCAATGAGGAAAGAATAACGTAAACTTGATGCAGCTCTGAAAATATCAGTTCCTTTTCATGTAGCTCTTGAAAAATTCTTTTCATGAAGTTTAAATGAGCTAACATATCTCCACCTTTCAGAAGACGTGCTCTAAACAGTTTATGTGTAAGATGTATGTGTGCACCTACACTGTCACGAACATAAATCCTCTTCAAATTCTCCCAACAGCTAGCAGCAGACTCTTCTCCACGAATATGGACTAGCTGCTGGTCACTCAGTGTTAGTCCAGTTATACAAAGAGCTCGTTCGTTGATCTGTTTAAAGTCAGCAAGCTTCTTGGCATCATCCTCATTATTTGCATCCCAAGCATTTACATCCGGTGGGTCTTGAACTACATTCCATAAACCTTCTTACACTCAGAAGTAGACTGCATTTCATAGACCAGGAAACATAGTTTGTTCCATCCAACCGGGTTATCAATGATAGACTTGTTGAAGTGTCTTGTGCTATCTTTACCAGGATAGTAACCCACAATTAAACAGTAAACAGCTGTCTGTATACAGTATTGTGCATTCACACCAACTCTCAATTATCTGAGCCTGGTATGGCCCGGGCCCATAACCAGTGTTGAGGTAATTCCCCGTTAGGAGAATGAGCGCATACAGGGAGGCGTATTTGAGAGTAGTGTTTGAATAATACACACACAGCACACAGATACACTGTACAGTAAGTGTAGGTTTTTACTTCCAATAAAAGTTTAAGCAAAGTCCAAACAAGCAGTCCAAGTCATTCACAGTTAAAGCAGTCAGTTGTCAGTCCAGGGATAATCCAATAACAAAATCCAGTATCAAAAACAGTTCAGTATCAGACTTACATCAAATCCAAAAATATCAGTCAATTAGGAGGAACAGCAAAACTCTCCAACAGAAGGAAACAGAGGCTCACTCAGACACACACTCTTCTGAGACTAAGACTAAGACTAAGACAAAGCAGGTTTCTGGCTCCATCTTATGGCCATTTGAGAAACCACACCTAATTACACTTTTAGGATTCTCTTAAAGATACAGTATTAAAATGTCTATCTTGGTTTATATATTTCCAACCCAAATAGCTGCTAGGTGACTTATTTTCCTAACACCACCCCCTCTGTCTCTCTCTCTGCCCCTCTCCCTATCTTCCCCTCTCTCCCCACCTCTCTCTGTGTCTGTGTGTCTGTCTCTCTCCTTCAAAGCTACGGCTGGGGCAAGCCAGCAAGCTTTCCCCTGAGCTCTTCGCTACTTCTTTCATTTCTTCATTTTGGAATCCAGACTGACTGAACAATGATCACCAGCTTCGATGGAAGCGTCCCTTCGAGCGACCCTTCTCCTCCTCCTCTCATGACCGGCGGCTGTGGCAGGGCCGGGAGGGTGCACACACGCAGGGAGAGTCCCTCCTCAAGTGAGCAGCCGCCCACCCTGTGCCCGGTTTTGCACCGGTCACGAGAGGAGGAGAATGGTCACCCGAAGGGATGCTTCCACCGTGGCTGACGATCGTTGTTCAGCCAGTCTAGATTCCAAAAAGAAATGAAAGAAGTAGTGAAGAGAGCCAAGGAAAGCTTGCTGGTTTGGCCCAGCCGCTGCTTTGAGGGAGAGAGACACACACAGAGAGAGAGACAGAGAGAGGGGAAGATAGGGACCCGGTCGCTTCACTATCCCCCCAGTGAAAAGTTTGCAAGTTCCCCTCCCATAGGGAAACAGGCAGCTCCGGGTAGCAGAGAAGCAGGCCAGTTGAATCCTGTTTCTCTCTGCTGCCCGGAGCTGTGCTGGGAAAGACTCTCTTGCTCTCCCAGCAGCCGAACACAAGCCTCTCCACATGTTCTCCAGTACAGCGAAATTTAGCTCAGGTCCCCACCAGTCTGCATCTCGCCCCCCACCTGGATTCACTGCAGCTGGGGGTTCACCCTTCTGGGGGTTAGTGTGGTGGGTGGCGGTGTCAAAAGGCAAGTGGGGTGGGGGGGGAAAGGTGACCAGCAGTGGCAGGTAGGTGACTGGGCCCTGGAGCTTGCAGAGCCTCACTCACCCAGGGAGATCAGGCAGGGCCACAGTGGAAGGCATGCAGCAATGGCTGGCATGGGTGGGCAAAAGCAGGCCGCAGGGAATGCCACACTTGTGCGATAATGACTGACTGGGCACGGAGGGAGGAGCAGGTGGGGCCAGCCAGTAGTGCGATTTGCTGGTTCTCCAAACTGCGCAGAATCATAACAACCGGTTCTATAGAACCAGACAGAACAGGTAGAATCCCACCCCTGATTCACATCCCCCTGGTTCCAGTGCTTCCACCATGCTGTCACACACCACATTCTGAGCAAGGAACTAGAATGGGAGGCTGTAGATGTGTATATCAGAGGCTTAGATAGCTTTCAGTGTATGTTGGTTTTTCATGCTCTGCCCCACTTTTCTTGGACTTCTAGAAGGAGTTGTAGTCATGTAAGATGGGCCGTTCATAGCACTAGCCATTCTGGAGGTAAGAAGAATGAATGCTTCCAGTACAACAAAATAACAGTTGGAAGGGACCTTAAGTAATCTGGTCCACCCCACACACCTCGCCCAAGCAGGAGACCCTACACCATTTCTGACAGAAGGCAGTCCAATCTCTTCTTGAAAGCTTCCAGTGATGAAGCTCCCACAACTTCCGAAGGCAACTTCTGTTCCATGGGTTGATGGTTCTCACTGTCAGAAAGTTTCTCCTTATTTCCAGGTTGAATCTCTCCTTGATCTGTTTCCATCCATTATTCCTTCTCTGGCCTTCAGGTACTTTGGAGAAAAGCTTGACCCCCTCCTCCTCTCTGGGGAAGCCCCTCACATATTGGGGCATTGCCATCCTGTCTCCCCTGGTCTTTCTCTTCACTAGACTAGCCAGGCCCAGTTCCTGCAACCATTCATCGTATGTTTTAGCCTCCAGTCCTCTAATCATCCTGGTTGCTCTTTGCACTTTTTCTAGAGTCTCAACGTCTTTTTTATAGCGCGGTGACCAAAACTGGGTGCAGTACTCTAGGTGTATTGCTATGATGAGCCCCTTTCTCATGATCTGGCCAGCATCCTACTGAATGATCTCAAAGTGGGCATAGGTGCACCAGATGGGAAAGAAATGATCCTCCTCTTGAAGGCCATCAAGGATAGAAGCACCTTTATTTTGATTTTTAATCAAATTTATATGGCTGCCGATCTCACAAAAAGTGTCTCCGAGTAGCATACAACAATCCACTAAAACAGCAAAACAAAATTTTAGCCAGTAGGAGAACAGCATGATTTTACATGATTTTGATTTATAATTTCTCTACCATAATAAACCCTTCAGGCAGGCCATAACATCACAAAAACATTTTTAAAAAGCCCAGTTCTTGGCCTTCATGCTGTTCCTGTCTGCTGTTGGCTTTAATAATTGCCTACTGCTTCTAAAGGTTGAGTTCTGGGGAATTGCAGGCAATTTTGTTTATTTCAAAGTTATTTTTATTTTACTTTTCTACTATATGTTCCCCTTACAGGTCTGACCAATCAGAATTACAGAATGCTTTTTGCTTGGTAGTCCCACAGATAACACATTCTTAGTAACTTTGACTATGTAGCCATGAACTGTGGTTAGCATATTTAGAGAACTGACTAAAGGTTGCCTTCTTCTCATTCTGGAAAATTTTATTTATAAAGTGGGTTGATATTCGGCATAAAAATCAAAAGGAGTGCGGATGAGGCTTGGCTGGGGTGCAGAGGTATTGTCTTTTTTGTGTTTTCCTGTGAAGGGCATGTGGTTTATATGAACAAGTAAAAGTGTAGGGACTCTGAAGATACCTCCTATTAAGTTTCCAAATTTCTAGTTTTAATTTTGCTGACTTAAGGACAAAAACATTCAAAAGGAAGATTTAAGACATTACAAGTTGTTTCCCTATCCTGGTGGTGTCCTCTCTCCCTGCTCCCAAAATGGCTGTAGCTGTATTAGTTGAGGAGAGACACAGATGCTGTCAGCTACAAGGAGATAAGATTGCAAAAAGCGAAATTAAGCAGTTATAGGTAGTCCTTGACTTATGGCCACTATTGAACCCAAAATTTCTGATGCTGCCAAATCCAATTGTTAAGTGAGTTTTGCCCCATTTTATGACTTTTTTTGCCACAGTTGTTAAGTGAATTGCCGCAGTTGTTCAGTTAGTAACATGGTTGTTAAGTGAATCTTGCTTCTCCATTGACTTTGCTTGTCAGAAGGTCGCAAAAAGCTGATCACATGACCCTGGGGACACTGCAGCCATCATAAATATGAGTCAGTGGCCAAGCATCTGAATTTTGATCATGTGACCATGGGTATGCTGCAACGGTCATAAGCGTGAAAAACAGTCATAAGTCACTCCAGTACCTTTGTAACTTTGGATGGTCACCAAATGAACAGCTGTAAGTCAAGGACCTGTATTGAATAGGTTGTGAAATTTTTCACCACACTCTTTCCTTTCCTGCCAGAAACCAAAGGGACCACCCGGGCCTTTGGAGCCCTCTGCCCAGACAGACAAGTCCCATCAGCGGGAGAAGTTGGAGCGCTTCAAGCAGATGTGCCAGATGTTGGAGCGGGTGAAGAACAGCAGCAGTTCCAGTTCCAGTTCAGACTCAGATTCTGACACAGATTCACGGGGCTCTGACTGTTCTAGTGGAGCAGTGTCGAGCCAAGCCAACTCCCCAGCCACCCGTTCGCAGCACTTGGCTGCCCTGGGCTTCAGTGCCAGTGAGGAAGAGGAGGACGAGGAGGAGGGTGGGCGGCGCAATGGTGGCTCAGAGACAACACGTAACGGGAAGCAGCCCAAAGCTCGGGGGAACTCTCAGGAGAAGGAGAACAATCATTGCCCATCCAGCAGGGGGAACGAACGGGCCAAGCAGCAGGTGGGAGGCCGGAAAGCCAACCGGCCTGCTGGACAGACAGGGCTCCGCATGGTAGCCCGGACTCAGTTTCTGAACTGGCCTTTGGTGCTGTCACCTCCCAAACCTCTGCTACAGTTGGAGAGGCACGTGATCCGGCCTCCCCCAGACAGCCCTGAACCTGACTCCCTGCCCTTGGACAGCGGCTCTGATCATATCATGCAGCGGGACATTTGGTTGGCTGTCTTCCAGTATCTCAGCTATCAGGAGCTATGCGTTTGCATGAGGGTGTGCCGGACATGGAGCCGTTGGTGAGTGAGCAAGTGGGCGGGCAGGCCAGTGGAGAAGTTGACCTGGCAAGCTAGAGAAGTAATGGAGGGAGGGAACAACACAGCAGGCTCTGCAGTTCGATTAAGAGGGGAGAAGAGGCCGTGGGATCAAATTTGACAGCTGCCTACTGACCCATTTCCGTGCAATGAACATCAGACCTCAGGGCTGTCTTGACTGTTTGGCCAGCCTTCCTTCCAGTCGGATAGGAGCCTCAGGTTCAACAAGCACATTCTGTGAATGAAGAGGAGGGGAGGGAGAAAAATGATAAGTGTGTATAGCCCTCTCTAAGTGGTTTACAGAGTTAACATATTTGCCCCCAACAATCTGGCTCTTCATTTTACCCACCTCGAAAGGATGGATGGCTGAGTCAACCTTGAGCCGGTCAGGATCAAAACTCCTGGCAGTGGGCAGAGGTAGCAATAGCGCTTAGACTTATATACCGCTTTACAGTGCTTTACAGCCCTCTCTAAGTGGTTTACAGAGTCGGCACATTGCCCCTAGCAATCTGGGTCCTCATTTAACCGACCTCGGAAGGATGGAAGGCTGAGTCAACCAGGAGCCTGGCGAGATTTGAACTGCCAAATTGCAGGCAGCCGGCAGTCAACAGAAGTAGCATGCAGTACTGCATTTTAACCACTGCACCACCACAGCTCATATACTCAGGAATCCATTATGAGGCCAACTGTTAATGGCATTAAAAACTCACAAATAAAGGCAAATACACGTGTCCCAGGATAATGTTGGGGGTCAGTCACCAGGACCAGAGGTTCAGTCTTCCGAGCTTTCGGACTCGTACTGGAGCTCATCCTCAGGTAAACAGAAAGGTGAGAGAGAAGTTCCCTGAGGATGGGCTCAGCATGAGTCCAAAAGCTCGGAAGACTGACCCTCTGGTCCTGGTGACCAACCCAGATTGGATCCTGCAACATTACAAACTTGTCATGGCAATTAACATGGAGGTTACAGAGGTACAATTTATATGCATGCACCAAGGAATCCTGCTCTGTACACCACTGCAGGTTACTCCCTGAGCTGTTTTGTGCATCATGTCACATGTGACCCTCGGCATTCTCCTTCCTAAATACCAGGAAATCACCACTTATTCATGCTTGAACATCTTTGTATGGAATGAGTTCTCTCCATATTGAAAAACTACCTGGCTCAGACAACATGTCAATGTTGAAGACCTATTTCTATAATATGTCATAAAATATCAATGCTTCTGTTTCAGCTGACCTCAACAGCGTTGTACAAATAGATAATATGTACCTGCCTCTGAATAACTTTCAGAATATAGTATGGCTATTAATGAATCAAAGCTTTAATTGAGGGATACATAACTTTTATGCAGATGGCTTTGTTTGCATTTTGAATAGCATGTCAGAGACCACACAGCCCAGTAACAGATGGGGTCAGGGCAAAAATTAATTTTTATTTTATTTTTCATGAGTAATGTATTTTGTACATTTTATTAGATTGATATGACTATTTCAAATGCATGGGAGACTAACCATATTAAAAGTAGGTAAAAAGTGTGTGCAAAAAAATATATACAGCAGCTGGCAAAAATCACACAAAAATGCAGTTAGCACAGCCAAGAAACAGTCTCTGTCATATATCCTTGAGAAACAAAATTCAGCCTTGATAAATGGAACAAATGTACCAGAAACTTTCAGAATGAAATTTAACCCAAATAAGTTAAATTTTGTTCAGAAAATGTACAGGGGTGGAAAGGAGAATACCTGACTTGGTAACACAACTTCTGAAAAAGATTTTGGATGACGAACCAGCAATGAGATGTAGAAGTGCAGTTTGGGATTGCTATTAGTAGAGGTATACTTTCCAAATCATAGGAAGTAATTGTTTTATCCTGCTTTGTTCAGGCTTATTTTGAACACCGTGTTTAGTTTGGGGATCCACACTGTAACAAGAACAGCAAAAAATTTAGGGGATTCGAAAATAAGCTGTACACAGAGAGGCTGATAAATCTGGGTATGATTACCTTTCAGAAAATGTGGGGATATTGTAGCATTCTTCAAGTATTTGAAAAGATGTCAGAGTCCAAACTTTCCAGAATCCAAGTTCTAAGGTGGGAGGTTTCAGTTACCTAATTGCTAGGACAAAAGTTCCTGACTATGAAAGCAGTTCAAGCAATGGAACCTGCAGAAGTGGTGGGAGACCTTCAATGCATGCACTCAGATGGAGGCTGGACAACCATCTCTCTGGGATGCTTTCATTTGGATTCTGCTGCTGAGGAATCAGAAATACAGGTAGTCCTTGACTTAAAACAGTTTGTTTAGTGACCATTCAAAGTTACAATGGTACTGAAAAAAAGGGACGACTGTTTTTCACAGTTACGACCTTTGCAGCATCCCCATGATCATGGGATCAAAATTCAGATGCTTGGCAGATGGTCCATATTTATGACCATGGCTGTGTCCCAAAGGTCATGTGATCAACTTTTGCGACCTAATGAACAAAGTCAGTGGGGAAGCCATATTCATTTAACAACTGGATTACTAACTGATCAGCTGCCTTGATTTACCTAACAGCTGTGGCAAGAAAGGTTGTAAAATGGGGAAAAAATTGCTTAACAAATGTCTCAACAATAATATTTTGGGCTCTATTGCAGTTGTAAGTTGAGGACTACCTGTAATTCTTTCCAACTTTATGATTCTGGAGCTCAGTGAATCATTGCCTATTGGCTGTCCTTCACTCCTCCCAGGTGCTGTGACAAGCGGCTTTGGACATACATTGACTTGAGCCATCGGAAATCTATCACTCCCTCCATGCTGAGCGGAATCATCCGACGACAGCCAGCCAGTCTTGATCTGAGCTGGACCAACATCTCCAAGAAGCAGTTAATGTGGCTCCTGAACAGGTTGCAAGGTATTTGGAGGGCAAATTGGGAGTGGTGGGGAGGTTTAAGGGAGAGAGATTAAGTGGTAGCCAACTGTTCCTTATTTGGAGCACTTATATTTTATTTCCAAATGCAGTTGTTCAAGGGCTTGACAATTCTGCAAAACTCCCAAATGCTATCCAGAGATGAAAACCCACACATTAAAAAAACACCCTGGCTAAAATCACTACAGGTAGTCCTTGACTTAGAACCATTTGTTTAGTAACTGTTTTAAGTTACAATGGCACTGGAAAAAGTGACATGACAGTTTTTCTCACTTAACCATTGCAGCATCCCTGTGGTCACGTGATCAAAATTTGGATGCTTGGCAATTGACTAATAATTATGATGGTTGAAGTATTCAGGGTCCTGTGATCCCCTTTTCCCACCTTCTGACAAGCAAAGTCAAGGAGGAAGCCAGATTCACTTAACAACCTGTGTTACTAACTTAACAACTGCAGTGATTCACTTACCTCTGGCAAGAAAGGTAACATGGGGCAAAAAATCACTTAACAAATGTCTTGCTTAGTAACAGAAATGTTGGGCTCTATTGCAGTCGTAAGTCGACTAGCTACAGTGAAGCCATTTGGAACAAGAATGTGTTCGAATCAAGAAATGCAAATTCCAAAGGTTATTCCAGAGTATTCAACTCTGCATATTTATTTAAGGAAAAGTGAATCCAGTGGCTTTGTTTAAACCTGAACAAAGTCCTCAAGGCTTCCTCTCTTTAAATTGGCTTAACCCTTTAGGATTGGGGGGCATTGTGGAGTGAGGTTTTTCACGGTCTGAAAACCCTGCACTTTGTGTTAATCTGGATGTAGGAAAAGGTAATTGAATGGTCTAGGCAAAGGACAAGGGACAGATAGCCAGAATTTCTGGGCACATGAAATTAAACAAATTCAAGAAGCAAAGAGCCTGCGCCAGGCTAATTTCCACTGCAGTGTTGATGCCCTAATTCAAATGACAGGTGGTGGTGGTGGTGGGATGGAAACTAATCAAGCAGAGAAGCAACCTGGAATTAAGGAGAAACTTCCTACCAGTGAGGACAATCAACCAATGGAACAGCTTGCCACCAGAAGTGTGGGTGCTCCATTACTGAAGGTTTTTAAGAAAGAATGAAATGGAATAGAATAAAACTTTATTGTCACTTTAAATGTAAACTAATCAACATACATTAAAATGAAATTTCATTACATTCAGCTCTCAAAAGATAACCATTATGCATAAACCCACATACACACACATATATGACACAGAGAAATACCACAGTCTTGTTCAAGTGTATACATGTACACGGAAAAAAAAAGTCCTGCAAATTTACAAGACGGATGGCATAAGGACTGAAGAGACTGGATCGTCACTTTTCTGAAATAGTATAGGGTCTCTTGTTTGTGCAGAGGGTTGGACTAGTAGACCTCAAAGGTCCCTTACAGCTCTATTCTGTTTGATTGGTTGAGAACATTGTTTTTCTTCATGTGGCCAAAACCACAATCAACAATCTTAAGATATCTGGACAGGGAAGGTTTGATAAGATTTAATAGCTCTGAATTCTGCAACTTTTTTTCACTTGCATCCTCTCAAGTGGAGGTAGGGATGTGGCATGTGGCTGAGAATTTAGTCTTGATGCAAGTCACGCAGCTCATTTGTGGGAAGGGGTGGAATTTGAGGACGAGCAAAATCAGGACAGCCATCTTGTTTTGTGGGATAAAGAAAAGGTTTGACCCACAAGAAAGAGAAGAGCTTTCCAGGAAACCTCATATAGAAGGGATCCCCAATCTGTGGGCCATGACCCACTAGTAGGCTGTGACGGGTTTGCAACTGGGCCACAAAAATGGCTGACGAGCATATGCGTATGCCTGCACATCTCACTTGTGTGAGTAGTGGTCCACAAAGCCAGAAATATTGGGGAACTCTGTCATATAGGACGGGATGTGACCTGGGAGCCAGAAATCAAAACTTCAGAGTAGAAAGGTGAGTTCATGGTGGGAATACAGAGGAAGGAGCTGTGGGTTTCTTTAGAACCAGGGAGGAATAGTTTGTATGTGAGGTTCTTTTCCCCACTTAATGTTCTCTTCTCCCAACAGGCCTTAAGGAGCTTATCCTAACAGGCTGCTCTTGGTGCTCTGTGTCGGCCCTTGGCACAGCCAACTTCCCTTCCCTACAGCTCCTAGATTTGTGTTGGATTGAGGATGTCAAGGATTCTCACCTCCGCGAGCTGCTCTTGCCTGCTACAGATGCCAAGCCTGGTAAAGCTACCTGTACCGGAGGGAACGGTCTCTAGGACAGAGGGAGGTCAGGGATATCTGGGCAGATTTTGCCACCTTTTCTTCCCATCCCAAGGAAGTGGAAAAACCTGCAAGGCAATCCATATGTACCCTCCGGCACCAGCTTTCTTTTACTTTCCCCACAGTAAAGAAGTTTCGTAAAATACCTGCGTGTAAGAACGGCTGAATTATTGTGGGATGTTGACATTGCGACATGAAATCTCTCAAGGCTTTGCCAATCTTTAAAACTGGTTGTGGAGGCAGGCTAAATGTAAGCCTCTAGAAAAATTGTCAGCACCTGCTCTAAGTTGGCCAACATAGACTGTACTTGTACAGTGCACTGAGTTGCAAATTAGCCGTTCCCATTTTAACCTCTCCTATTGCACAGTGCAGTCCATAGCAGCAGTTTATGATTCAGAGTGTTATGTGGGCCTTTGTATTAAGTTGTTGGGTACTGTCAGGCACCAGAGAAATCAGGAGTTCCAGGCAGTTCAAATGGGAATAAAGATTTATTATAAGTTTAAGCTCTCTATAAGAATCTGAACTATTGGATGTATTAGTGCTTCCATCGTGGATAGCCAGAACTGGTATTTTCACGTAATGATTCTGTTTGATTCTTTCCCATACTGAAAGCAGAGCATTCCTGATCTAGTGCCTTTGGAAGTACCTATGTATTTTACTTTTCGCATACCACATAAATGCATGCTTTTTATTCCTTTGTTGTTCAAATTTATCTACTCTTTCAACCATGTGAGCACTGAGGCCTGGTAATGCAGCTCCCAATCTGGTAGCCCACCCCCCCCCCCCCCCCTAATTTTTGGTCTCTTGTAACATTTTCAGTTTGATTCTTGCTTTTTTGCCTTGCCAGACAAACTTTAGAATCAATTTATTTAAGTCCTCAAAAAACTTTTTTCCTAGTTTTGTCGGAATTGCTTGAAATATAAAATAGCAATTTTGGTAGGATATTCATTTTTTTTTTGTGGCTATCCTTCTGACCAATGACAGCTGTAGATTTCTCTATTTTTCCAAGTCTCTCTTTATTTGTTGTATTAATTTAATGTAGTTGTCTTCTTTGAGGGTTGTACATCTTGCTGTTAGCCATATTCCCAGGTATTTAACTTTTTTAGTTATCTGCATGTCCATCTTTTCCAACAGTTCATTTTTCTGTTTATTTGTAAGATTTTTTGTCAATTTCTTAGTCTTTTTCTTGTTTATTTTTAGTCCTGCCACCTCACCAAACTCTTCTGTTCTTTTTATTAGTTTGGGTCCCGTTTCTAGAGATAGTGGACATCCTTGTCTTGTGCCCTTGCTTATGTTAAAATTTTCCATTATATCCCTGTTTACTATCACTTTCACCATTTGTTTTGAATATATTGCTTGGATCATATTTACGAAGTTTTCACCAAAGTCCATACGTTTTAATTGTAGTGTCATAAACTGCCAGTTCATATTATCAAAGGCTTTCTGTGCATCCAAGAAGATCAACGCTAGCTGTTTTTCAGAATGGGCTTTGTAATATTCCAAAGTAATGTGTTCAGGATAATCCTCATACTATTTTTCAGTTGTCTTTTAGGTAGGAAACCATTCTGGTCAGGATATATGAATTTGTTTAGAAATCTTTTTAGTCTCTCTGAAATTATGGAGGCATATATTTTATAGTCTATATTTAATAATGATATTGGTCTGTATTTTTTTATCTGTTGAGGATCTGTATCTTCATTTGGTGTTAAGGTAATATATGCTTCTGTCCTTGTTTTGGGGAGCTTGATAGCGCTTCATTATAGACCTCCAGCATTGACAGTCCTAGTGTCTCTTGTAAATTTTTATAGAGTTCTGCCGGAAGCCCATCTGGTCCAGGTGTTTTATTCTTTTTTTGTCTTTTAATTGCTTCTGTTATTTCCATTGTCATTCTTTCATTTAACATTACTCTCACTGTGTCTGGTATTTTAGGTAGATCAGCCTTTTCCAAATATTGTTTTTGTAAGGCTCAGACTCCCCTTGAAACGATAAGAATGAACTTTTGAAAACTAGGTATTTCAAAAGGAATTCTTTATTGAAAAGGAAGTTATCCAGGTGATATTCAAAGCAGGGTCTAATATGCCTCCAGGCATGCAGCATACATAAAAGGAGTTAGAACTCCTCCCCTTAGTCTGATGTGGATTTCATCAAATACAAAGAAGCAACATGTTAATTCCCCCCCTCTTTTTTTCTGGGAAGTTTCTTTCTGAGCTGGAATTTTTTGGCCCCTTCTCCTCTTGCTATCTCTCCAAGAGGTTTCCAGGCCTCTGGGCTCCAGTCCCCAGTTGTATACCATGTGCAAGTTATACAGATTCGATACAAGACTTAAGATGTTCAGGTTACTTCAAAAAGGATTACTTCTACCAACCCACCCACCCCCGCCCCTTTCTTCTTCCATTGAAGAATGGCAAATACACGGATCTGACAGTTTTGTTGTTTCTTCTGACATTTTTTCTTGACTGTAAAGTTTCCTAAAAATTCCTTGATTGTTTTCTTTTTCTCTTCATTCTGGTAATGAAGAGTCCCCTTCTCATCTATCACTTTGTATATCATTTTCTTCTCTTTCTCTTTTTTCAACTTATACACTAGCCATCTACCTTTCTACCTTGCTTATTTGCATTTTCAAAAAAGTTCTGTTTTGCCATTTTAATTATTTGTGCCGTTTCATCTTGTATGGCACAAAAAGGGTTGTAGGTTCAGTTTATGTTTTATTAGTTCAGTTTTCTCTTTTATTTTTTTTGCAGATCATTCTGCAATTCTGTTTCCAATTTTTAAGCTCATCTTGTAGTGTATTTTGCTGCTGTTTCTTTTTCTTATTTTTTCTTGCTATATATGTTACTGCTAACCATCGTATGTATGCTTTTGCCATGTCCTAAACAGTTTGCAATGATGTTTCTTCTTTTCTATTTTCTTTAAAGAAAAATTCCATTTCTTTTTCCACTGTTTGTATGAACTCCTTTTCTTTTAGAATAGTTTGATTCAGTGTCCACCTCAGTTTCTTCCTTTGTCCCTTCCATGTAATTTTTATCGGGTTATGGTCTGCCCATACGTTTGTTTCTATATCTACCTCCTGAACGTCTGTTCTCATTTCTGATGTCATCCACGCCATATCTATTCTCGACCATGATTGATGTCTATTCAAATAGAATGTATACTGGTTTGTCTTTGGGTTTAGCTCTCTCCATATATCCTGTCAGCCTATTTCTTGTGTCATATCAAAAATGGTTTTTGGAAGTGTCCTTATTTTTTTTACTTTTTTTACTGCTTCTGTAGTCTATTTTGGCATCCGCAATTGCGTTGAAGTCCCCTATCATACATACGTTTTCGTAGTCCATTTCAGTTATCTTTTTGTGGAGTCTTTTATAAAACCCTTCCTGCTTATTGTTTGGAGCATATATTGCAAACAGCAGAATCTGTTTCTGGTTTATTAGCACCTCAACCATTAATATTCTCCCTTCTTCATCTGCATATATTTGTTTGGCTTTTAATGGTTCTCTAACATATAGTGCCACCCCTCTTTTCTTTTGAAGTCCTAATGCCGAATATAATTTCCCAATTTTGGGGTATTCCAATAGGTTACCATGTTGCTTTTTAATATGCACTTCTTGGAGACAAATTAAGTCCAATTTTAATCTTTGTAATTTTGTGAAGGTTTTTTTTCTTTTCATGGGGGAGTTCAATCCATTTATGTTAATAGATAACATCTTTATTTCTTCTTCTATCTTTTCATTTATATATAGGTCTTACCCTTCTAGTTGTTCTTATCTCTCTCTGTCTTTTTATTCTTGCACCTTCTCACTCTGCTTGCTCATTTTTCTCCTCTCTTTCTTCTTGATCTAGAGTTTTTTCTTCTATTTGTATTTCGTCTTGACTTTTTACTTTCTATCTCTTCTCTGCTTTCCTGTTCTTCATTTGCAGTAAAATGGTGTTCAAAGAATTCATGTGCTTTATCTAAAACGGGTCACCAACCTTTTGGACCTCAGGGACCACCAAACTCATACTTTTAAATCCCTAGGACCACTAATAATGATTTTTTTAATAAAAGATAATATATTTAATATAAAAATTATATATATATATAGATAGATATAGAGATATAGATATAAATATAAATATATATATAGAGAAGAGCCCCCCCCCCAAAAAAAAAATCTGGTCTCCTGTCATTTCATATCTCCCCCAAGTCAGAGGAAACCTCTCCCTCCTTTGCCAGGTGTGGCTGCCTGGAGTTGGGGGAGGGAAGGAAGGCCAAGCTGCTTCCATCCCTCCCCCCACCTGCACCTTCCAAAGAGACAGAAGAGTGTGTGTGGGGGGGGGGGTGTCTGAGCTAAGGGGCCTTGAGGCAACTGCTGCTGGGAGAAGCAGAGGCAGAAAGGGGGCTTTGCTCTCCTTGGGGGACAGCGCCCCTCGGCTGCCCCTCCAGGGGCTTCTCAGCCGGCAGCTTCCTGAAGAAGGACCACCGCCCTCGGTGATTAATTGGGGGGAAGGGAGGGGGAGAAAGTGGGGGCTCCTTTCAGATTCCGGGGGGAGGATTGAGAGAGCTCAGATCTGCAGCTGAGGAAAAGCTACAGGACAGTGATGTAGGGGCTCTTCCAGCCTCACCTGGAGGGAGGCAAGGAAAGGGGGGGAGGCTGACACATTCACCCCCCCCCCAAGAGGAGAGTTGCTTTCCTCCATCAGCCCTCCATCCACTGCTTCTGCTGCTCCTTGCCTCTCCTGCCCCAGGAGGGGAGCCGGGCACCGTTTCCTCCCCACCCGATGGCTGCACCCTCAGCAGGAGAGAAACCCGCCCCGGAGCCCAATGGTGACCAATCCACTCCTCCCAAGCATTTCTTCCTCGCCGCCCACCTCGCAGAGCCCACGGGGGAATGAGAGAGGCTCCCCCTCCAACCAAGCTGTCAAGCACTCCTCGAGAGAGAGATGAGAGAAGCAGCCGGAGTCACTCTCGTCTCTCAAGAGCCTGGCCAAAGTTTCTTGTACCACTTCAGCGAGAGAAACAACAGTTTGCAGGGGGGCAATTTGACTCCGGCTGCTTCTCTCTGCACTACAGACGCGGCAAGAAACAAGGGGCTGCCTTGGCACCACCAACTGCTGAAAATATAGCACGGCGAAGGAGATGCAAATGTGAGTAGCGCTTCTTCCAGCCACCACCACTTCGGCCTGCTTGCGCCACATACCTTCCAGTTCCAGCTTTCATGGTTCTCTACTCAGTCTCTAGTAAGGTTTGTGCTCAGCCGAAGGGTGGGGGTCAGCATGTGGGTGGAGCAGCCTTGTTTTCCCGCGTGGCCCAGATTGTTTTGGGGCACCATTTCTCTGCAGACCACCAAAAATTTTCTGTGGACCATCGGTTGGCGACCACTGATCTAGGGTGCTTTATCCACCCTAAATTTTTTATCTTGCCAGGTAACCAGAATTCCTTCTAGTATCAGCCATCTAAAAGTCACGTTATATTTAATCAGTTGTGCTGTCAAAAATTGGTATTGTCTTCTCTGCTCTCTGACTCTCCTAGGGATCTGTTTTAAAGTCACAATTTCTCTCCCTTTATACTTCAAAGGCTCATCTCTAGTTCTTTTATATATTTCATCTCTCAATGTCTTTTTGGTAAATCTCACGTGCACCTCTTTTGGTAGTTTATGTCTTCTTGCATAATTCATATGGATTCTAAATATTTCATCTATTTCCCTTTGTATGTCTTGTTCATTTTTCTGTAGTGCTCCAGCCTGCAGGTCTGTCATCAGATCAGCCAGGTCTTCCTCTTTCTCTTCCACAATATTCTGGAATCTCAGTCAGTAGGCCGCCTTTTCCATCTCCAGAAAAATTACTGTATTTTCTAATTCTCTGTTAGCTTGTAATAGCTTTTGATCTATTTCCTCCATTTTTTTTCCTGTTTGCTCAGCCTTTATTTCTATTTTCTGTATCCTCTGTTCATTTTTCACTATTGTTGAGGTATTCCCCATTAGGAGAATGAGTACTCAGGGAAACGTAGTGAGAGTGGTGTTGAATAACACACAGCCAGCATACAAATACACTGAATAGTAAAATGTAGGGTTTACTTCCAGTAAATGGGTAAACAAAGTCCAACAAACAGTCCAAATCATACATGGTTAAAGCAGGTAGTATTCAATACAATCAGTTCAGGGATAATCCAAAAATGAAGTCCAGTATCATAAACAAAGTTCAGTAAATGGAGTTTGCTAACAGTTTGCAAGACTCACAGCAATTCCAGCAGAATGACGATCAGGCAAAAGGCAATAGGGAAAATGCAGGAAGAGAACAAACCAGGTTTCTAGCTCCATCTTATGGCCATCGGAGGAACCTCAGCCAATCACAATTACAGCATTCTCTTAAAGATACAACAGTATTAAATGACTATCCTGATTTATATATTGCCAACCCAACAGTTAGGTGACTATCATTCCTAACAACTATCATTTGCTGAAAATTCCCTATCTTTTCATCCATATTCCATATCTCCCGCTTCATCTCCCCCATTTCATTCTTAATCTCGTCATGGTTTTTTGACAGCTTTTTTTTTTTACTTTTGATCATGGCTTCTTGGATTTATTGTAGCATCGCTTGCATACTCTGAAGGGAATTTGATTTCTCCAAACCTAGCATGCTTTCTATTGGTCTTTGATTGGATGGGCTTGATGCTGATGCTGATGTTGCTGATGAGGGTGTAGATGAGGCTTTCTTTCCTATCTTAGACATATTCTATATACTTGTCATCTCTACCACTCAGAAAGGAGCTGATCAAAGGGGGAAAGACAAAGAATTATATCTGCACAGAGAAAGACTATTTCCCACACCCACAAATATACCTCCTTCAGTTCTCTGGTATAGTATCTATAAAAATATTCCCACAATCTAAAATTTCCACTCACCACTGTTTAACAAAAATCTATCTTTGGTCTACAGAATTAATAGTCCTATCGAGTCCATTGATTACTCGTAATTCCCTTAAGGCTAGGCGCTTCCTCTATTCTTCTTCCTCCAACAGTTTAAATTTATAATCCACGTAGATCTGTCCACACTGCTATTGTTATAATCCTATCTCTGGCAGGGATCTGGGATGTCTCCTTTATGCTAGCCAAAAACAAAGAAATTTCATTTATGTCCAATGTCCATCTAAGCCCGTGATGGCGAACCTTTTCCACACTGCGTGCCAAAAGTGCGCTTGCAAGCCTGCACCCATGATGCAGTGCGCACGCGACTCCCCTGCCCCCTGCGTATGTGCGCGCAACCCCCTGCACATGCACCGTGCGTCTCTGCGCATGCATGCGCAACCCCCACACTACACACCTCTGTGCATACACATGCAACCCCCCCCCCGCATGCCACATGCGTGGCAGATACCCGACAATCAGCTGGCTGGCGGGGGCGCATGCACAGTGGGGCTCTTGTGGGTGACCTCTTGCATGCCAGCAGAAGTGGCTCTGCATGCCACTTCTGGCACATGTGCCATAGGTTCGCCATCAAGGATCTAAGCTGATTCTTAGTCTCCCTTTAGTGGATTTATTTATATGTATATCTCTCCTCAGTAAAGAGTTTTTATTTTCACTGTCTGTACCTCTAAGTCCAGTAGCTACAATTGTCGCTGTATCTCTTCTTTTTTTCTTCTTTATACTGTATGATTTACATCTCAGCAGCTGCCAATATTTTCTTTTCCTTTTAAGATTCAAAATTTATAATTCACCAAGGCCCCCAAACCCACCAGTTCACCAAGCGTTCATTTCAAAACAGTATCTAGATGAAAACACAATTTCCAAGTTCAAAGTGGATACTTCCCCTTCTTTTTTCCAATTTTCCACAGCTCAAACTGCTCAATGTCTTCACCAATTGTCTCTGGATATCTCAAGAGTCTTTATGGGTCTTTATAGATATAACAACCGTCACTTCCTCTTCTTACACACTCTTCTGGTCAGTAGATAGCGCCCTTACTCTCTTTTAAGTGCTCAAAAGGTTTCCCCTTAAGTGGTCCAAATCAAATGTCAGTCCAAAAGTACTAATAAATGTATTCCTAATAATCTTCAAATATTTAAGATTATTTTAAGGTAGTTGGTCCGGGCTTTCATTTAACTTAAACTTAATTCCTTTATGGTCATTTCTGCCATTCTTTTCCAGATCTGTCAGTAGCTCTGAAAGCTTAGTCACTGCTATTTTCGGGGAGCAGAAATCCTGCTCCACCTTTTTTTTTTTGAGTCTCACTTTCCTAAAAGTTTTTAATAATTAAATCAGGATAGGTTCATTTGCAGAAAGTTAGGAAGTTCTCACCCAGCACAGCCACATTGCTCCTTGGTTTTTCCCTTCCTGTCTCTCGCCAAGCTGTCACAGCTTCAGGTCGGCCATGTTGACGGTCTTCTCTCCAGTCAGCTCCAAGGGGTTTCCCCTAGTTCTAACAGGAGATTGCCTTTCTTCACGCAGTCTTCGGGGCTTCCCCTCTACGTTCATCAACCCCTCCAGAGTTAAGTTTGACCATTAAAGGTCTCCAGACAGGCGAAATCGGGTGGAAATAACGGAGGTCTGTTTCCCCCGTCTGCTTCGCTGTGACATCACTGCTGGTAGTCAAGAATCTGAACTATTCACGGTTAAAGCAATTTGGTGGTAAATAAGGAATTCATGATGGTCTGGACTTATATATCTTGTGGGTGCAAAGGGACTCATGACTGATGACATGTTTGACCCCTCCCTCAGCGTGGGCATCTCCTACAGGTATTGTAAAATCAGAAGGAATGACTGGGATCATCTACTGAAGTCCTCTGCTACACACAGGTGATCCAGTTAAACCATCCATGGGAAGTGGCTTGTCCAGACTCTTCTTAAAAAGCTGTAGAGATGGAAACCCACAGATGTACAGATCTCACCACCAAGATGTTTCTCCTTTAGAATTATTCTGCAAACCTTCTGGTCTACCACACTGTGGGGCTCTGGTGCAGTTGCTGGCCCATTCTGCTCCGTATGTCAGAGCTGGTAAGCCCAAGCCTTCTTCACTTAGCAGTAGTGCCCAGTCTAAGAGCCTTCTCTGCACACTAAGGCTTGGAGCTTATCATGTTGCAGGCTGGAGTAGCCCAGTCTGGATTCTTGATCTGTGAACTGGGGTGTCCCAGGCCTGAACAGCGGCAGATGCTGGATGCTTGCTTGAGGCATCAAGCCCAGTGTCCGTTCCATGCCCTGAGGAGCCTTCAAGTTTGGGCTGCTAAAACTGCAAGTTCTAAGGGTCGCTAGCCTGAAGCTCCCTCAGAATGTGTGGGCTCTCACTCACCCTGCAGCTACTGTTGGCAAGTGACTGGGAGAGGCAGCAGGGCAGAAAATCTCCTTTCATGGCCCTCCTGTAGGGAAGAGGTGAGCAAGGACTGAAAGGCATGGGAGAAGGCTAAGAGGATCCTTCCCTGCACTGCTGGTTGAGTGCTTCCAGGCTGGGAAGCTTCAGCAAATGCATTGTGCACTGGAGATCCTTCACCTGGAGCCCTGTCAGAGCATGGCAAATCTTCACGGACAGTGTGAACAATCCCAAAGCAATTATGCCAAAAAGCTGTTTGATTTAATTTATTTGGTTGTCGACAGCCAGATGGCTTCTTCATTTCAGGAAAGAAAATCTGATTGACTCCGTGGTCCAAGTCACTCCAGTGAAACAAATGTGCGTCGTTTTGCCCAAGCTTGTTAAAATAAGCTTTCCAATTCATGCATCTGCCATTTAGGGCAGAGGTCCTGGCTTGTCCTGTGAAGCTCATTCTCCTCTCTATTCTCACCCTGCTAGGCCAGACAGACAGCCGGGGCCGGCTCCAGAATGTCTCTGAACTACGGCTCTCCGGTCTGGACATCACAGATGCATCTCTGCGCTTGGTAATCCTGCACACCCCTCAGCTTGCCAAACTGGACCTGAGCCACTGCAACCATGTATGTGACCAGTCTGTTAACCTGCTGACTGCTGCTAATTCTCCACTCCGAGAGACCCTAATTGAACTCAACCTCACCGGTGAGTCAAATCCCTACTGGCAATTCCACCTCTCCTGCTTGACCAAAACGATGCAGCCTCCTGAGAGAAGAACAGTGCACTATAGTGGTTAAGGAGTTGAACATCTATCCCAATGTTTCTCAATCTTTTTTTTCTTCCATGGCACCCTTGCAACCCTGTTTGTCTCCTGTTGCCCCTTGTCCAGGTCCCAATACCAGATAGGGACTTTGGACAATGTTGGTAGTTCTTGATTTAGGATCACAATTGAGACTGTAGCTTCTGCTGTAAGTTGCTGCAGTCATAAGTCAAGCCAGACCCAATTTTACAGCAATTTTTATGGCAGTCATTAAGCAAACTACATGGTTATTAAACAAATCTGTTTAACAGCCATCATGACTTACAACCATGATTCCAGGCACAATTATGGTTGTAAGTTGAGGGCTGCTTGTAGTGGCCATAACATTATCCCACTGTGCCACCTATTGTCTATGTTCCCAAGAATATGGCTGTTGCTAATTTTGGGGGGGTGAATTGTCTTTCCCCCTATAAAAGCAGCCCCAATTCTTGCCCAGTTTCCTGAGCCAGGCCCCATCTCCCCACAGCAGGATCTGAACAAACCAGTGCTATCTCATGATCTCAGAACATGTTCTCAAACCAGTGCTATTTCATGGTCTCCTGTTCTGGAGGACCCTTGGTGGCGCAGAAGTTAGAATGTAGTATTGCAGGCAAACTCTGCCCACAGCCTGGAGTTCGATCCTGACCGGCTCAAGGTCGACTCAGCCTTCCATCCTTCTGAGGTGGGTAAAATGAGGATTGTTGGGGGCAAGAGGCGGACTCTGTAAACCATCAAGAGAGTGCTCTAAAGCAGTGGCCCCCAACCTCTTAGGCACCAGGGACTGGTTCCATGGAGAGAGGTTTTTCCACGAAAAGGAGGGGGCATGGTTTTACATGCTGCCTGCATCCCACGGATGGGGCTTCATTTGTTTGCGTGGACTGGTTTCTGGCATGCTGCAGACCAGTGCTGGTCCACAGACCGGGGGTTGGAAACTCCTGCTCTAAAGCACTGTGCAGTGGTATATAACTCTAAGTGCTATTGCTATTCCTTCTTCCTTCCCTGATAGGATGTAACCGGCTGACAGATCAGTGTCTGCCCCTTTTCCGCCGCTGTCCACGCCTCTCCCGTATCGACCTGCGTTCCTGTCACCACATCACAATGGAGGCCTGTGCCCGATTTGCTGAGGACTCTGTCTCCAACAGCAGCGCCGTGCCACCAACCCCCAGAGCATCCTCACCTCCTTTTCGTTGCCCCGAGGAGAAATTGCTGCTGAAGGACAGCTAATACTCGCCCTGGGGTGGAGGCGCAGAAAGACTCAGCTTCATCAATCCAACTGTTGGACACGGACTCTGGGAGAACCTTTTTACTTAAAGCCATGCACTGAACCAGAGTGGCATCTCCACCCCCTTACTTGTGCAGCAAAGAGGGTGCTGGGGGAGGGGGGGTCATGCCCCCTTCCCCAGGTCTGGCCTGCTGAGGGCCAGGTGGCCTTTTGCCCCATCCACTTGTTCCTGGACAGCCATGGAGTAAGTGGGGTCCGAGGTAGCCTTGTCGCTTTACAATGCTGGGGAAATGCATATTCCTCCCACCATGCACTGCGTTGTTCCCCTCTCTCCCCCTCCCACCTCCAAATGTCCATCCAAGCCACCATTGGTACACCCCACTATCTCGGGGCAGCAGGCGGTGGGGGAGGGTGGGAGTTGACATTCAGCCTTGAAATGCTGGCTCAGGAAGAAGGCAGCTTCTTTGATGGGGTCAGATATATTATGTTTTTCCTGCCCTGTTCCTCGCTCAATGCAAATGTGCACTCCAACCTCACTGATCCTCCCCCCCCACATGCTGCCTTGATTATTTTTAAAGGGTGTGTGTGTGTGTGTTTGCGCACACACGTGCATGTACTTGTCAGCCTGCCTACCCAGTTCCTTTTTCCAGCCCTCTCCCCAGTTGTGCATCTGCAGTGTGATTTTCCAAGGGGGCCAAGCAAGAACCAGGCAGCTGATTTCCGGATTCCTTTGACCTGTCTTTTCCCACTGTGTACCTGCTGGGGCTCCCTCCTGCCTCTACCGCTTTCTCTCTTTCCCACAGCACTGGATAGTTTCTGGAGCTGGCACATCCATTTGATCTGCTTCCTGCATCAGTGCCCTTTGTACCCATAATTCTCTCCTCACCCATCAATTGGAGGCCACAAAACTTCTCTATAGGTATTCTTCCCTTTAGATTTTCTTCTCCTCACTCTCCCTCCCAGCCAATCCCAGTATGCAGCTGAGGCCTCCTGGGGATGCAGCCCCACCAAATGTTCACCCCAGTGCTTCACTAGATGCCCACACTGTGAAACACATGTGCTGCATTCTGTACGCACAGTGTATCTGCTGCTGTGTACCAGCAGAGGGACAAGGGAGAATACTTCGTCCAAAAGAAAGGAGTAAACTAGCATGTGTGAAAGGGAGGTGCTAAACCTCCTGTCTCACTTGGCATGCGTTGGGATCCTTCTGGGAGGAAAGGCCTTAACAGTCCACTCTTCCCTCTCCCTCCAAGCCCCCTCAGCCCTTGGGCAACACGTCTGCTCAGCACAGTGTTTCTCAACCATTAAGATGTGCAGACTTCGACTCCCAGAATTCCCCAGCCAGCATGAATTCTGGGAATTGAAGTCTGCATGTCTTAAAAGTTGCCAAGGTTGAAAAACACAAGTCTACAGTATTCTTTCAGGTCCCTGGGCTGTTCCTGGAGGAAATTCCCTCCCAGGCTGTTTTCATCCGACATTGGCAGGCTGGGTGGATCGGGCAGCTCTTTTCAACTCTGTTGTCCCACCTTCTGTGCCCACCGCTTTGCTCCAAGGCTTCCCAGCACTTCTCCCCAGAAGCATCCTTCCTTCCAAGTTTCTCCCTTCTTCAAAATCCTCCTTTTCGACTCTGGATAGAAAAATCCTCACAGCTTCCCCCTCCAATCTTCTCCTTCCTTTCCTTGGTTATTATTCTTTTGGACCATAAGCTTTAATAACCACTTTGGGGACGGGAGGGGACGGGGGGGGGGGGGGGCGTCCTGCCTGCTTTCCTTACCCACAGTGCCAACTATTGCTGAGCAGGAGTCAGACGGGCCTTCTCTTAATTCTGGCTGCTCTCTGCTGCCTCTGAATCTCAAACTTGAACCCCCGTCCAGCTGTTCGGGTGTGGATATGTGTGTGCTTGGGTATGTATGTATGTGGGATTCCCCCCCTCCCCCAATATTTTTTTTTAAAGGGGGGAGAGAAGTACTGTAGAAAAGAAAAGTGGTGCAAAACGAATGTCCTGGACTGACACTGCACCTGCTGTCGGTCGTTTTTGTTCCTTCTGCTCGGAGGTGGAAGCACATTGCTCAGTGCTGCTCTCTCCGTTCCTTTGGCCACCTTCGTCTTTGGGGTCAGGTGGGGACTCGTTCTCAAAGGTGCCCAATTCTGTCCATTTCGCTTTCACTCTTTCATTCTCTGCCATCTCTGTCTTTCCCACCATTATTAATCTTTTTGCTGTCCTTTTGTCTTGCTACAAACGGTCTGGACTGGATTGGGGAAGTATAGCAAAAGAAATCGTTCATCCAGTCCAGAAACCCTCCTCCCTTGGCTAGAATGTTTTTTCCCCCAAAAGCCCTTCTTTTCTCCCTTCCTCTTCTCTTCCTTCCCTTTCCTCTGTTTATTTTTCCTCCCTCACCCTGCCCGCCATCCTTCTCACCTTGTGCTTCACCTGAATTTTCAGATGGCATCAGACACACACCACCTTTCTGTGCGTGTTGGGGAGGGGAGGATGGCAGAAGTCTGATTTTCAATTTGGTCACGTATCTTTTCTTTTAATATATACTTGAACGTTCATTTATTACTAAAGCATTACTTGAAAAAAGACAGCGATAGCTTGTGGAATTGGAGGCAAGGTTTTCGGTGTTGGGTTGTGTTTTTTTATTATTTTTACAGTTCTGTTGGGTGCTTTTTTATTGTTTTAAGAAAATTGGTTTTGTTGTTTCCTTTTTTTTTGATTTGTCTGATTCAACAAAGTCCTTCCCTCTCACTCCATTAACCAAAGAGGGCCAAGGTATCTTAATTTTTCCTCCTCCACCTCCATTTCTGGAGGGTTTCTTTTTTTTCTTCTGTCTAGGAGTGTTCTCTCCTTTACTCACAACTCTTACAGAGCAAGTATTAAACAATTTTGAGAAGTGGAGGCTTTGGGGCTACGTTTGGGTGGAAATATTGTATATTTGAGGGAGGGTATCAATGGGTCTCTTCCAGAACTTATGGCACAGCATAAATATGTACTGTGTGGCATGTCCTCAATTTAGTGGTCCTGCCTGCATCCCATTCCCACACTCCATGGTGCAAACAAGGAAACTGGGTTGCATTCCACACAACCAGCCTCCTTGTTAGTTTGGGGCCTCCACTCTTCATTTCATGTAAAAGGAGATGTGTACACTAAGAGGGAAAGAGTCATCTAGCTCCAGATATTGGGAGGGAGGCCTGCCATGGTGACCCTCCTGTTGTCCTCTTCTCCTTCTCAAATGAGAGTGGCAACAGCCAAGGGAAGTGCTCTTTTCAAGCATATCTTTTGAGGTTTATTTTTTTTACCGTTTTTTTTTTAATGGATGTTTAACTCTTGAAAAAAAAGAAAAGAATACCTCAGGTTTAAAAAGAAATGGTGAAGAGTAAGAGGGAAAACAGAATGTAATCCCAGGGTTACATTACTCTAGAGCAGGGGTGTCAAACTCATGTCATGGCAGCATCACGTGATGTATTGGGACTTTCCCTTTCACTAAACCGGGCATGGGCATGGCCAGCACGTGACACATCCAGCCTACAGGCCGGGAGTTTGACACCCCTGCTCTAGAGCAGGGGTGGGCAGTTATGGCCCTTTAAGACTCATGAACTTCAACTCCCAGAATTCCTGAGCCAGCCATGTTGACTCAGGAATTCTGGGAGTTGAAGTCTACAGGTCATAAAGGGGCCATAGTTGCCCACTCCTGCTCTAGATTGCTGCTTTAGGGACTGCACATGTTGGGTAGGAAGCCCACTGGACCAGTGTGGAGAGGCATCCATGGCTCAGTGCTGGGTAGAGATGGACACGTGATCGCTCTCCCTTCCATCGCCCTAACCCTCACCTCAATCATCACTCCAAAGACAGGCACTTGCATCAGGGTACAGGCCCGTCTCTCAATCCCAATGGAAAAGGAACATGGAGAAACATGTCCAGAAACATGTCCCTACCCCCAGATGTAGCTTCAGAAAGTATTCCAAGACTCGCATCAACCTTGAACCTCAGATGTGTTGGAGTCTACATCCCGGTGTTTTCAACCAGCCTGTTTGTTGCCTGCAAGTGGTAAATTTGTGGTCCACCATCCCTTAAAGAAGATTGAGTTGGGTAAGGCTGAGCTATTCCATAGGTCTCTCTGACCCACAGAAACACTCACACAAACACGCCCAGTGCAGCTCCTCAACCCAGTGGACCAAAGCTATATTTCTACCACAACCATCATCTCCCACCAATTTAATTGTTTATCCTCCAGCTACAACTTTAATCTTCAATAGACTCGTATTGCTCCTCACCTAGAAATTGAGACAAAGACTGCTGGGGATGGGAAAGAAAGCAAGGGGGTGAAATAAAAATGTAAAAATCCAGTTTTTGGAGCAATGCATCTCCGTGATGTTTGATCTGCACATCTCCATCCCAGCCCCTTGACACTACAGATGGGGAGGGAGGGGGACGTGACACCAGGTTCCAATCTGAATTTCAGGGGTTCTATTGTATAAACTGTTTGCTATATAAAAAAAAATCAAAACAAATGAGTGTTTTGATCTTAAAGGCCTGTTTTTCATTATTCCCTCCCCCTCCTTTTACATATCTTGCACAGTCAAACATATATTTAGTTCTATCTACTTGCAAAAGAAATGTGAATTAAAAAAATGCTTGGGGGGGGTGTTATTTTTTTTAAAAAATTTTCAATAGGTTTCTATTTTATATTTTCTGGAAAAAACATTTTTAAACTTGTTTTTTTCAAAGGTTTTATTTTTTCATTTCCGTTATTGTTAGCATGCTGCCTTCAGGGTTCTGGTTTGGGGTTGATGGTACCGGGGTACCTTTAATCAGTTAAATTAAAATTGAAGGAAAGCCTTAGGTGTGAATCAATAACCTGATTCTTTTAAGAGGTGCCTCTGTTAGATTTCTGCAACAGTTGTCATTTGCAGTAAGAGTCACAACATGAGATGAAAAGGTTTTCCATATTATATTTGCATCAAAATTAGGCACTTCCCAAGGGAAATTCAAAAGAGGAGGGCAAGGGAACCAGTAAGATACCAGCCCATGATGATGGACAAAGCATCCTTGTCCCTTTTCTCACAACAGCCTTCTGGGGATAGGTGGGGATGACAGCTGCTACTGCAGTGTAGCTTAATTCATTTTAGAAACCATTGGAAGCACCCCTCTCTTTGGCCTTAGTTCTACACACTGAATGTGTTTGCGTGATTAGCCTAGCCATGTATTAATCAACAGCAGGATTTGTTAATTCTAGGCTGTGATCAGCTAGTTCAGGGTAAGAAAATTTAACCACTCTGGCAGACTTGATTATATTGTGTACTGGCAACACCCTCCACATTGTTTGTGATTTGGTCCCATAAATAAACTAAAATGTCTTGAGATCCAAAGATCTGACTAGGTTCCCCAAAAGACACAACTATTTTGACATTTTCACTTGTCTACATTGAATTAGCCAAGGTCTTAGTGGAAAATGAAAAATCCTTGCCTGTTCATATTGAGGCCAGTTTCTGATCATGTTCATTTTTGTCCCAGCACTTGGGTCCAAAGAATGAATGAAACAGTTCTAATGCTGAATGCTCCTTGTCCAGTCACTAAGAGGGTCTAGAGCCCAATTGAAAGTTAAATTAGCAAAACCCAGCTTGAAATGTTTCCCTACCATCCACCCTAATTACAAGCCTTAGCAGAACCTGGCTTGTATTTTTAGAATAGATTAGAGCTTGGAAGGGACCTTGGAGGTCTTCTAGCCAATCCCCTCCTCAAGCAGGAGACCCTATACAAGTTCAGACATATGGCTGTCCAGTCTCAACAGCTTTCAGTGATGGGAGCACCCAAAACGTCTGGTGGCAAGCAGTTCCACTGGTTAATTGTCCTTACTGTTAGGAAGTTTCTCCTTAGTTGCAGGTTGCTTCTTGGTTAATTTCCATCCATTGCATCTTGTCCTGCCTTCTGGTGCTTTGGAAAATAAATTGACCCCCTCTTCTTTGTGGCAGCCTCTCAAATACTGGAATACTGCTATCATGTCACCCCTAGTCTTTCTTTTCTCTAGACTAGCCAAACTCAAATCCTGCAACCGTTCTTCCTATGTTTTATTCTTCAGGCCTTTAATCATCTTAGTTGCTCTTCTCTGCACACTTTTTCCAAAGTCTCAGCATCTTTTTTGTAAAGTGACCAAAACTGGATATATTGTTAGTTGATTGATAGTCTGGACTCTGGAGAGCCTTTTGTCCAGGATGGTATAAGGTCGTCCTGCCTTAAGCCAGGGGGCTGGACTAGGTGACCTCCAAGGTCCCTTAATTCTAAGCTCTCTGGCTGAGAACAGGTGGTGCAGTTGTGGCCAACATAGAAATGGTTGCAAGT